AAAAAAAAAAAAAAACAGTAAAAATAGAAAAATAGCAGGACCTTGTGGCAGGGGCCTCCAGTCCCAGATATTAGGGAAGCTGAAGCATGAGGATCACTTGAGCCCAAGAGTTTGAAGTTGCTATGACTTATGATGACACCATGGCACTCAAAACTCCTAAGTGACAGAGTCAGTCTGTCTCAAAAAATAAAAATTTTAAAAGGTGCCTGTAATTTAATTTGAGGAGGATTGCTTGAGCTCAGGAGTGAAGACTAAACTGAGCAAGGGTGAGACCCCATAAAAAAATTAAAATTAAAAAACACAGCTGGTAGGTGAGATGCTAAAGTTTATGATCCTAACTATAACCTAGCTTTTCTATGTGTTAAGCACTTTTTCTAGGTATTGAGCGTAAAAGACATACAGAGGTAAGTAAAGATCCCTACTCATACATTGAAGTTACTTTCTTAAGGAGAGAGATAAAATAAATACAAAATGTCAGATAACGAGGCATGCAGAAAATCATAAAGTATTGACAGAAAGGGACTTGGTAGCTACTTTAGATTCAAGAGGTTAGAGAAGGCCTGTCTTTGGAAGTTGCATTTAAGCTACAACTTGAATGATTAAAAAGTAGCCAACCAGGTGATAAGCAGAGGCAAGCACATTTTAGTTAGCAAACAACTAAAAAAAGTCCCTAAGAAGGAAACAAGGTAGTGCGTTCAAGCAACAAGACGACAGCTAGAGAACGCTGAGTTTCAGAGGAAAGGGGAAGGGCAGACAGACCAGTTGCCCAAGGGTTTTCAAAGTGAGGGGAAAGCATAACAGGAAGCCATTGAGAGTTTTGAAGCTGTGGAAACCAGTTCTGAAACCGATGCAGCATGTCTGTGGTAAAAACTATGGTGGCTTGCGTTAGGGTGTACCAAGTAAGATAAACTGTTTTAGAAGTCAAGTTGATAGAACTCAAAGATGGACTTGTTGGGGGCAGAGGAGTGCTCAAGGAAAGAGGCTTCAAAGGTAACATGTTGGTTTGTGCTCAGAACTGGGTGAACAGTACTGATACAGGGAAAACTCAGGGAAGAGCTGGGGATTTCTTATCTAAAGGAAAGGCTTTTCAGAATGCAGGAAGGGGGTGTCCAACTACTACACTTGTTTTATCTAATTTAACTCTTATGGATGCCATAGCTCAGTGGTTAAAGCAATGGCCCTGCACACTGGGAGTGTGGGTTCAAATCTCGCCCAGGCCTCCTTAACAACACAAATAATAATAATTTAACCTTTACAGGAATCTCATGTGTGATGGCACAGTTTCTTTATCTTCCTTGCTATTCACCCTCCTTTACAGAGGGACAAACTAAATTTAAGGAATTAACCACAAATCCACAGCTAGTAAATAACAGATCAGGGAATCAACTCCAGAGAACATACTGCTTCTCTCACAGCTCTGAACCTTCAAACAGAACCAAGGGCTCAGGGTCACTGAAGATCCAAAATGAGAAAATGAAGGAGGAATGACATGGTATGACTGGAGTGAAAGAATGAGAAATTAACTGTGAATGGATAATTGTGAACTGAGGAGGTACCCCTAAGACCAGGAAGCAAACTCAGGCTTTAGAAGCTGAGAAGCACAGTCACCTCTCAGGAGGTGCCTTTCCCTCACCTGCTGTGAATAGTTCTTTCATTTCTTCTTATTCACCCTTACTAATGATCTTGCCTTATACTTAGCATAGAACTAGAAGCCATCAGGTGAAAACACCCTCAATGTCTCACTACATGAACAGTCCCAC